GCTTCTGCCGCCACTTTGGGAAGTTGTTTCGTCGGCCGGGAGCGGGCGCCCTGGCGGCCAGGGTCGGCCCCTTGCGGGTCTGGTGGCCCCGCGGCCGGCGTCCCCTCTCAGCGGCCGGTCCCCGCGGGGTTCCGATCGCCCGGCTCAGCGGCCGGGTTCCCTCAGCGACTGCTCCGTGCCCGCCCCGCCTCGGGCTCGGGTCCCTCCGCGGCCTTCCGCGCGATGGCCACCCCTGGGCTCGTGTCTGCCCCGAGGCTGACCTTCGCTGGCCGCAGAGGCGCGAACGACACGGGCGATTCCGAAACTTTACGGCCCTTTCTGGGCTGCCGAGCGTCCAGCCGGAAGGTCCAGCCTCGGACAGCGGAGGCCTTTCTTCCCCTTGGTGGTGACCCTTGCACAGCCCGGCCGAGCTCTGCCCTGTCCCTGGGCCTGTCACTGCGGGGCTGGGATGACAACGCCTGGGACAGCAGGGCGCTGACCTGGCCAGCAGCTTGCACCAGCGGTGTAGACGGGTGCACACGGCAGTTAATGCCAGCGGTGTAGACGTCGGGGTGCACACAGCAGCTTATAGCAGCACTGTAGACGGGTGCACGCGGCAGTTAACGCCAGCGATGCAGACCACCAGCGGTGTAGACGGGTGCACGGGGCAGCTAACACCAGCGGTGTAGACGTCGGGGTGCACACAGCAGCTAACACCAGCAGTGTAGGCGTCGTGCACGCAGCAGCTTATAGCAGCAGTGTAGACGGGTGCACGCAGCAGCTAACACCAGCGGTGTAGACGTCGGGGTGCAGACAGCTCACAGCAGTGGTGTAGACATCGGGGTGCAGGTGCTCAGCTCCCTGCCGCACTTCCTGCTCCCATGCCCTCTGGGGGTGCTCGAGGGCCTAGAGTGTGGCTCAGGTGTTCCTCCCGCAGCGCTGGGACTGCAGTGTCTAATGGGGGGAACTCTGCTGGCAGTCAGCCTCTGGAAAGGCTTAGAGCCTTTTCGTTGTTGTGCTGTTGTGTGCCGTCGAGTCTCTTGCGACCATTAGACCCTAAACTCTGCTCTGTCCTGTGCCAATCTCATTGTCTTTGACACACACGCACCCCGATTACCCCAGTCACTGAATCAGTCCACTGCGTAGAGGGTCTTCCCCGAGTCTTAATTTTTGCAACCTTTTCATATTGTAAAAAAGGTAACACAGTTTGTAACCTGTTTTGGTCCTAGTATGTGCCCATGTTAAGGGCTTAGATTTGACAGCTAGATGAGTCCTCTGTTAGCCTGTGTTGTTGGTGCCCTGGAAATAGGACAGCCAGAGGAGAGCTGATGAAGTTTGTACATGTTCCAGGAGGGGCACTGGTCTCAGCAAGAGTCCATGATGGTTGGAGAACTGGCGCAGGAGTGACAAATGTTTGAGAGTGGCAGCAGCAGTGGCTCGTAGCCTCACAGAGAACTGAAGACGGTGCAGGGGCAGCTGGGTTTCCTGTGCTGTGGCCAGGAACCCAAACGGGCATCTGCACCACACAGGAACCACTCTGACATCAAGGGCACTGCTCCCTTTAATGCTGATTTCTTTCACTGTTCTTTGACTGCCTCCTAACAGATTGCTTATAGCATTAAAATTTGTTTTGGAAAAGATTTTTTAATTTTGTTCATTTGATTGTTTTCATTTGCCATCAGATCAACTACATTACGTGACTGTGTACACAAACTGAAGTGACTGTTAACAATATAAACCGTAAGGACTGTGTGTTAGCCTTGTAACATTATAAAGGAGTTAAGATTATATGTTATCTATCTGCACTACCACCCCTTTTCCCCAAGAGTTGGAGGGTTTGCTTTGACTTGAGAGCGATGCAGCAATTTTATTATGTGCATATTTTATTTTATTATTTTTTTTTATGTGCATATTTTAAAAAGCAGAAGGCATCTTAACCCCTCTTGGTAACAGAAGTGGATTTAGGATTATAGGTGAGGGGATAATTTCATTTTGATGGTATTACAGTAGATTAATTCCCCTGCACTCCCCTCCACAGTTGATTAATTTTAACTTTTGTTCCAGGAAGTAACATTTGTATAACTAGTTTCCTTGGAAAACCTAATTTGTTGACCCTTCTGGCAAGTCTGGGAGGAAACATACTGTCTTTCCCCCTTGTTTTTCAACTTCTTTTCTTTTTTTCAAATTCGAATGTACAGGATGATAATGAAGATAATTCGAATGATGGGACCCAGCCATCCAAAAGGAGGCGAACGGGCTCAGGAGATAGCTCTAGGAGCTGTGAGACTTCAAGTCAGGATCTCAGGTACTGGCCTTTTACTGCTTGGTCATGTTGTCTTGTGGTATGTGTCCTGTCTTTAGAGACAGACACACACACAGACACACACACACAGACACACACACACACACTGCTTTAGCCTACCACTCTAACAGAGGTAGTTATTTGAAATTTAGAATATTGTGCTTTTCAGTGAGATATCAAAATTGCGCTTCTGCATTCCAAGATCTGTGGTCACTTTGTAAAACTGTTATAGTAATGTGGTTCAGTGATTTCTGGTACATTTATGCCACTACTGTGACAGTCTGGTGTTAAAACATTGCCTTTTTCCCTTTGGGAAATGTAGGCGTGTGACAATGTGTTGAGGTGTTTGTGCGCTAGGTAGTTAGATGACAGTAGATTTAAAACCAAGGACTGAAATGGTACAGCAGAGGTCAGGTAGCAGGGAAGTAGGAGAGGCAGAATAATTTAGAATTTCTGCCTCGGTTTTGGTTCTGCTTAACTCTGAAGTTGAGGATCAAGATAATACAAAAAGGCGTTTAACAAGACTCTCATGAGGAAGTAGTTTGATGGAAGTTTCAGTTTTTAAAATGACTGCAAATATACTGGTAGGGATGTGTTGTTTTTTAAAAAAAATATGCATGTGTACAGGATGAGGAGCTGTTCTGCTACCACAGGCTGTTCAAATTGACCAGCCATTGCTTGGGAGAAAGATGGGTCATCTGTGCGATTGAAGCCTTTGAAAATTCCTGGAGGGTCACTTAAGAGATTGTTCCCACTGATGACGATGAGATGTTGAATATACACACACCCCCTATATATTCAACAGTAGTAATGCTACTTAAATAGCATTTTACTCATCCTCTTCACATTTGGGAGATCCCTTTGATCACTTAATTGCACCCCGTCTTCCTTTGCCCGTGGAGATGTAGAAGGATGACTACATGTATATTTATTTATTTAATTAACTTTCTATTGTGATTTGAGTGAAAATTTAAAGAGTACAGTGGGTTTCTATTCAGTAATTCCTACACATTTTGTTTGGAGACCTTGATTATAAATCCCCACATTGGGAACAGCACTCTTTGCATTCCTCTCTCTGTTTCCTGTGTCCACTTTTCTTTTCTGCCTCTTCCTGCCTTCTGAACTTTATCCCTGGGCACATGTGCCCTTTGATCTTATATAATGGGTGCCTTCTTTCTGGTGGTGTTGATCGCCTTATAGGCCTGCCTGTCTGTTGTTGGGCTGAAAGTTGAGTCCTAGAAGTGATTTCAGTTCCAGGCTTGAAGGATATCTAAGGACTATAGTCCTGGAATTTTTTTCATTCTTCCAGACCAGTAAGCATGGCCTCTCTTAAGATTTTGAGTTTGATTTCACATTTTCTTCCATTCTGTTGTTGTGTACTGTGGTATTGGAACTGACCCATGGCTGAGCCCCCAGCAGATTTTCAGAGGCAGTAAATCACACAAAAGGAGATTGCCCATCTTTCTCCATGAAGCAGCTGGTGGATTCAAAGCGTGCACCTTTCCATTGGCAGTGCAGCTCCTTCCCATTAAGCCACCAGAGTGCTCTCCTACGCTGTGTTGTCAGGGGCCGTCAAGTTGAGTAAGACTCAGGTGGCCTCTGAACAGCGGAGCTGAACCCTGCCTCACCCTGTGCTGTGCTCTCAACGTCTGATGTGGTTGAGCCCGTTCTGCAGTCACTCGGGCAATCCATCTGGTTGAGGATCTTCCTTTCTTTTGCTGACCCTCCAACTTTCCAAGCACATTGTCTCTCTTAAAGGAACAGCCTCTCCTAGCAATATGCCCAAAGTATGGGAGACAGAGCTATGTCATCTTTATCTCCAAGGAGGACTCTGGTTGCACCTTCTCCGAGATAGGCCATGGGATATTCATTACTTTTCTCCAACATTGCATCTTAAAGGCATCAGTTCTTCTTTTTCATCTTTATTCATTGTCCAGCTCTCATCAGCATAGCAAGTGCTCAAAAAGACCATGGCCTGAATCAGAGGTACTTTAGTCCTCAAACTGACATCATTGCTCTTGAGTAACTTGGAGAGGTCCCTGAATGCTGACTTTCCCAGCATAATCTGTCTACTGGTCTGACTGCTGGTACCAAAGGTGCTGACTGTAGATCCAAGTGAGATGGAGTTGTTGACAGCTTCAGTCTTTTCCCATCTATCATGATGCTGCCTATCAGTCTAGTGGTGAGAATTTTTGTTTTCTTAATGTCGAGTGCAATCTATAGTGAAGGCTGGTCCCACCCTGTTAGGGACCTTCTAGTGTGATCCTTTTCCAGGCTGTCAGCAGAGCTAGGACTCTCTCGTTCTGATCTCAGAGTTGCGAAGACTTAAGTTAAGTGTCCTTTAGTTCTTTGGACTTACAGTCTTTCCTTCTCTCATTGTTCCAGATGAAGATGGAGACTGGGGGCTTGGAGGCTAGTATTTGCAACACAGTTTTGTTTTTTTTGAAATAAATTTTATTTTATACTGCTTAGCTTACAAAGTTTGTATACATTGTTTTTCACACTGAATCTTTCCCGTATCCTTTACTCCCCTTCCTCTACCCAACAAATTGTGCGACTGTGATTCCACCCTTCCTCACCCCTCCGCTCCTACCCTCCCCCGCCTTAGGAGCCTCATACCTATTTTACTGGTTATCTTTCTGTTTCTACAATAATGGTCTTATATGATGTTTGTCTTTAAGGGACTGAGTTAGTTCACTCAGCATAATGCTAGTCCCTCCTAAGTTAGACAGTAATTTTCTAAATCATTGCTCCTGCATGCTGTGCAGTATTCCATCGTGTGAAGGTACCGCAATTTATCGATCCATTCAATTGTGGTTGGATACTTGGACTGTAGGATCTTGTAATGGTCAGTAATGCACTGTTAACACTGGTGTATAGATCTTTGTGTTTAATTTCTAATTTTCTCATGGTATATTCTTAGCAGTGGAATAGCTGGGTCATTTGGAATTTCTATGTTCAGCTTTTTGAGGAAATGCCAAACTGCCTTCCAGAATGGTTACACTATTTTACAATACCAACAACAATGTATAAGAGTTCCTATCTCTCCACATCCTCTCCAACATTTATCAGTTGCTGTCCTGTTAAACTTTGCCACTGCTGCTGGAGTGAGATGGTATCTCATTGTGGTTTTGAATTGCGTTTTTCTTATTGGCAGTAATTTTGAGCATTTATTTCTTCATGTATCTGCTGGCCATCCAGATTATCGTCCTCTGTGAAAGGTCTTTCCATGTTGTTTGTCCATTCTGTAATTGGTTTATCAGTGTTTTTCTTGTGGAGGCCCTGTAGAATTCTGTAAACTCTTGTTATGAGACCCTTCACTGAGATGGGATTGTCAAATGTTTTTTCCCACTCAGTAGTTTTTCTTTTCACTCTGTTACAAAATGTTTTTGATGTGCATACGGATTTAATCTTTAGAAGGTCCCATTCATCAATTTTACTGTCTCCTGGTTGGTTATTTCTGGCTGTGTTTGCCTTTTATACCGTGAGCTAGCCCTTCTATGCTTGGTCCTACATTGTCTCATGATCTTTAACGTTAGGGTCTTTATCGCCTGGTCAATGGTTCACCGTGAGTTGATTTTGTGTATGATGAGAGTTGTGGATCCTGCTTCAGCTTCCTTCAGGTAGCAGCCCAGTTTTGCCAGCACTATTTATTGAAGAGCTTGTTGTTTCCTCATTTGATAGGTTTTGTTTCCATGTCCAATATCAGTTTGCCCATAGATAAATGGATTAATTTCTGGGTTCTTGATTCCAGTCTATTGGTCTCTGTGCCTGTTATTGTCCCAGTACCATGCGGTTCGGGTTATTACAGCTTTGTAGTGGGTTTTGAGATCAGGGAGTGCTGCTATGCCTCCCACTTCGTTCTTGTTTGTCAGAAGTGCTTGAGAAATATAATTGACAATTGCCTTTTCTGTCTTTTTGAAAAATGAGTGTGATATCTGTACTGGGATTGCATTAAACTCTATATTGCTTTTAGTAAGATTGTCGTTTTACTATATTGAGTCTTCCAGTCCTATATGAACAGGGAACATTTTCCGGTTTTTTAGGTCTTTTATTGTGTCTCGCAGAAGTGTTTTGTACTCTCCTTTGTAAAGGTCTTTGTGTCTCTAGTTAGGTATATTCCTAAGTTATCTCAGTTTGTGGTTGTCTGTTGACTGTGTGGATCATGACAAGTTGTGGTTAACCTAGAGGAGAATGGGAATCCCAGAACACTTGATTGTACTTACGCAAAACCTCTTCCTGGACCAGAAAGCGGTCCTCAGAAGAGAACAGGGAAACACTGAATGGTTCAGAATCAAGAAGGAACTGTGTCAGGGATGCATCCTGTCTCCATACCTTTTCAATCATTTATGCAGAACAGATCATTTGGGAAGCTGGGCTTTATGAAGATGAATATGGCATTCGGACTGGAGGACACAACCTTGCCTGCTGAAACTGAGGAGGACCTGAAGCACTTGCTGCAGAAGTTCACGGACTGCAGTGTTCAGTACAGACTGAAGCTGAACTTCCAGAAGACGAAGACTGAGTTGGTGGAGGAAGCAGCGGTGAGTGAATCAGAGATGCGAACTGCGAATCTGGTGGCCAGCCCACTCTGCAATCCCGACCCTGGTGCTCGTTGCTGGGCCTTCCTGGATGTCAACCACAACTGCAGCTGAAGAAATTCTAAAGTCTTCTCAAAATAACAGAGGTCAGCATTATAGATGACAGCTTCATGCTGAAGTGGGACTGGAGCAATGAGTCTGTCAGTAATGTGATTTTTTCAGATTACCAAATCTCAAATGGATACCTCAAAAGCACATTTAGAAGCTGAAGACAAGGCAGTAATAATCAGCAACTCTCGTCCTGGAACAGAAGATGGTCTCATGTGGGATCAGGAAAGAACAAGCTTTACCTATAGATTAGTTGTCTGGAAAACCTTTTCCAGTTTAGGTGAAAGAATTGAAGATGTTTCCCAGAGGAAAAAATACAAACTCTTACCAGAGACTACTTACTACTTAAAAGTT